CATGCCAAGAATAGAATTAATAGTCTACGATAAATTTATTGTAGGGTTTGAGATAACACAAAGTTGTAAATATATTTCATGCGGTGTCCCTGTGTTTGACTATAACAAATGTGACAAGAGAAAGCAATATAGCATTTCAACTGGGCTCGAGAGTCCGAGGTTTAAACTAGGCCAATGCCACCCAATTTTGGTGATAAGCAGCTTCGCTGTCTCCCGGTTCAATACCAAGCCTGTGGCGTTGTAGCTTTATGTGGATCGACACTCGGGTTGTCGCCCCCATGAATGAACAGTGGGTTCATGCGAATATGGGGTTTATCCCTTTTTCTGTTCATCACAACAAGGTGTAATAAAACCCATGGGAATACAAGCAGTTTCAGTTTTAGTTGGTACAACCATTAGCCATGTACTTTCGCATGTCAGCTTTGGTTGCCGATATTGGTTGCATATTTGGATGAAGGGCTAGAAGAAAGATTGGAAAGTCAACCTTTCACATACAGCGGAATATCGCTACGGCGCCAAAGATATCTCAAGTTGGCCAACGCCAATCGAGCCGACACGTCAACCATGATGCATTCGCCGCGTGAGATATGCCTGTCCAAATACCAAATCTTATTTACTTGCTCTATCGCTTTCCCAGTTAGGGTAAGTGTAGGAGCTGAATAAACAGTCTTGTTGCAACATTTTGAAGGTGCAAAATGCATACCAAACGTGGCTACACTGGCACTCAAACTATACAGAAAAACTTGCAATTTACCTGGATCTTCAATTAGCAGCACAGTGTCATCTGCATACTCCAGATCAAACAGTCTACCACCTGAGAGGCAATCGATGTCGCTATCCTCGGACTCGGCTTTGGCTGTTAGTATAAAGATATCGCAAAATTGAAATAAAATTCTCGGACACACCCTTTAGAGTGAGGCAGCGCCAGAGTGAAGAGCGGTCGGCTGAGTCGAAAGCCGCTTTTAGATTGAGGAAGAGTTTCAGTTTCAGTTTGAACAACCATTAACCATGCACTTTCGTGTGTGTGAGGAAGAGAGAAATGATGGGCCTACGAAAAGAATATCAGTGTTCAAGAATTTGACGAAGGATGAAAATATGATCTGTACAACCTCAACCGGGTCTAAAGGCAGCGTAGTTTTAATGTGCGCACTCATCAAGCGCCGCAGACAATCGACGGAGTATGATGCCAGCGAGAGCATACAGTATGAACAATCTGCTTAAGAGGAATGTTATTGAGTAACGAGTAAATATTTAACTTAGGTAAACTCTCAAATCACTTTCTCGTGTATTTTTGCCACAAATAAAGTGATTTGTAGGATAAGAGCCTATGATCTGAAGACCTACTGCAAGAAGCGGGAAGAAACGTTAAGGAGAAACATACCCCATCAGTCCAGGTTTCTTCGTCTTTTGAAGAGGCGACGATCGTACGTGGGAGAAGAACTTAAATAGGGGAAAAAACGAGTGGGATGCAGCCGTATTTGTACACTTGTGTCAGGATATCCAAAGAACTAAGAGATTTTTGTCCATGGGGATCTCACAACATGCCCCGAAACACTCAACAATGAATGTCTTCAGTTTTATTTATCGTTATTTATTGGAATGTGAAATCTCTATCAGTTCAAAACAAGTATTGCAGGTGGCAAGCCGAAGGAAGACTGGGTGGTTGTTGCGGTTTGCAGAAGCCCTAGCTATTCGGTGTCACATGACAGAACTCTATAAACAACTAGATATTTGACTAATCTCAGTTTGATAGGATCCAGTTATAATCTGAGTAATCAAGTGAGATTTCCTCGAACTCACACTCTGATTAGGGGGCCCATTTTAAAGGTACTAATATCAACGTTCAAATGATTTAACCAAAGAAAATTGTCGAGATACCTGGAACCTGGGCCGACAAGCGCTTCGCAATGGTTTGGATCAATTGTGGGGCAGACATCCCGTTGACCTTCAACAAACTGCCAATCATCATATCACACAGAGAACGTGCGGTATCCAGGGAACGATCATCACTCCAACGAGAAAATAGTATATTCACATCAGACACCGACGCTGACGCGGTCAGACGTAGCAGTCCACCAAAGTGAGCGTCTCCTCCTAGGATCCGCACAGCGATCAGATTGTATTGATCGCAGACTGAGGAGGGGGATAAGATAAAAGGGAACGACAGCCCTCTGAAAAGATTTCTATCCAGCGCAATAGAATTCTACAAAATGGTATTATATACCTATATAATTGGTCGGGGTTAACAACGCTTCACTGATTTATGCTCTTTGTGTGCTCTATTGAACAGTTACAAGAGGAAGGGTATGGAAAAAGGAGCAACAGACGGTACGAGCCATTTCTGGCAGGCTAGCTCACAACAGTCATCGCAATGTTGTTTATGCGCCATTGAGTGACTGATTAACAATGGGGTTGTGAACGAGTCGAATATTGGCCGGTAGTTTGGATTGCACCATCAGAGATATTCACAACGAGAGATAACAGAGTGGTAGGGATAAGAAAACTAACAACTGAAATATTATTAGAAAACTAAATTGAAAATGCCACGACATGTGCTGAAATGAGACAAGAACAAACCTATGAAATCACCATATTGCTACCGTTGTAAATTATGCACCTGTGCCGTAGAAATTTTACATCCAAGTGCGTGAACGTTACTAGAGCTAGTCATAAATATCTAATTGTCCTTAGGCTTCTGAAGCACAATGTACAGACAAGCAACCGTTTAACATTCATCGAGTGAAACTGTGTACAAAAGCACCTGACATATGCGCTTAGCGAGGGAAAACTAAAAAACAGATTGATCAACATGAAATGAAAGAGTTTAGATAATTGGCAACCCGACTGAATGGGAAAGTTTGCCGAGTTGACAGAAAATCAATCCAAACAAACACTTGAAGCCATTGATTTGCTTATTGGAAAATTCGACTCGATTTTCGGTTAATCTGAGCACACCTTTTGAGGCCCCGCAATCCAGCAGAAATTGATCCAACGAGCCCCAACGATCAAGCAACAGGGTGTTAACGGGCCACTGACTCCAAGTTTCCAAATCGACGAGTGGAGGACAGGTGGCGAGAAAAGTGAGTACACCATCACGAGTGCTGAGCACAACGGAAGTCTGCATGGACCAGTCCACTCGGAGGCGATGAGTGCCACGATCTGTCGCAGACACCAACGAGGCTGATTCCCGATTTCTCATTTGCTCGCTAAAAAGAGAGGATTATTCGTTACATACGTAGCAAGTAACAGGAGACAACAATCATTCGTGGACGGTAAACGTGTTACAAGCTTAATGATTGCATAAGAATTCCAGTGACATTCAGAGGCGAAAAAACAACCCCATTGTTTCACTTTGGAGAGGATTACTGAACCAGGTTATTGACGAGGTCTACAATACATGTATGAAGTGTGAACATATATAAATATATACTTATATTTCACTCGCGTCTGAGATCAGACTGTGTACCAAACGAATCACGGTACAATAATCCTTGTGGGAGAAAAAAGTTCCATGAAGTGTGAGTATTACTATTTTATCTTTTATTCACAACCATGAAACGAAAGGAATGATTTCAATAAGCTGTCGGTTTCCAGGCTGCAAATAAAATGAACCATACTGAAAATTTCGTGCACTGAGTTTAGATTCTGCGAACCAGAAGAGATTTTTAATAACATTCGAGACAATTATACATTCGGAACGCAGATCGTAGATGAGCAGACGTTTTCGGCGAGTTTATTCTCAAACCAATCATGTCTCATGTAAGAAAATAATGAGGGGGGACGTGCTGGGATCAAACAGTTCAGCACTTCCCTAGTTTTCTTGTTCGAAAGTAAACGGCTCTTGTGACCGTGGACGATTGATTCATCAGTCTTTCTTTCGTGTGTGATGTTGTACACTACTATAACCAAAACACCTAGAAATGGAGGTCGCACTTAGAATGCCTTTGTTGGATGTTAACTTGACGTCACAGTAGTGCCCCATTAAAATCCTTAGCACTATGGCCCTACCCTGACGGTAGGCGGCAACACTGTTGTTCGGGTCTATTTTTGTTGACTTATACGGTTCACTGATAAAATCCCGGTGCAGATATACCCCGCCCCCTCCCCCCCCCCCCCCAGATGGATAGAGTGATCGGCTTGGTTCCATAGCGCAATCAACAACAACGGGGTAAAAAAACGATATTGACCATATCAAAATCACTCCACGACAGAAAAAAAGGAGTATTGCCGACAAACAAACGCAGAACTGCTAGACCCCAGATGAAGATGCTTCAGGTAGAGAGCGGCAGCTCAAACTGTTGTTTGGGGAGGTCGAATAAACAAAGCATAGAGAAATTCAGAAAAATGAAGTCAAGAGCTGCTAGCAGACTGCCCAAACTGAGTCAAACTCCCATCTAGTTGGACTGTGGATCAATGTTATCTACACAAAGTTTGACCCCATGGTCAAGGACAAACTAGGAATAGGAAGACATGAAGAAAAACGTCCTTGGAAGAACTAATTTGTTGATCCTATGTTTGAGAAGCAAAAGGTTGTCAATGGTTGGAAGTACGGTCGTCTGTCCAAGGTGCCCAATACACCTCGATACCCCATTGGGCTGGTGACCACTACCACATGTGGTCCGCGCACCTCTCAGCTGGTTTGGAATTAGGATTTGTCATCCAACTGCCAGTAGCTTACTGACCCAGTTATAGCCTCTTACTTCCGCCACTAGAAGGTAGTGAGTGGGCCTTCCTCAGCAGAGGTTACGTGAGGCATTTGGTTATATAGGAGCATATCATGAGGCGGAAGAAAAGAGTGACCAGCCACAATCCTGGACACCTAAACCAGACCATACTGAAGCTTTCGGTATATAAGATATAACCAAAGACTCCAACCACAATGAAAAATTGGGAATATTGGAATATTGGTCTATTTGGACACCTTTGGGATTCTGTAGAGGCGCTGCTGTAGCACAATGAGACAGAAGCAGTAAGCCGAATCGAGCATTATTTGAAGATGTAGGTATAATATCATGGGTTTTGCTTCAGATTCAAACGGACGTGGATAGCGAATACTAGATATGAAAAATGGATCTGTCATCCGGAGTCACGTGATGATCAGAATCCGGCGAGGACACAAATTTTACAACCGTTTACAATTAGGTAACACACAAAGTTGACGAAAAAACCGTGAGAAGAATTGCGCTCACTGATATAATATTGGTATGCGAACAGTGCAGTCAGCCCCGCTCAATTCGGCCAAAACGGTAGCAACAACCTTGCTCAAGTGATCTGATTGTGGAATGTGAAGGGTGCAACTGACGAGATGAATAATATCCTGAAAACGAGAGGGATACGGAATGCTACTGAATGCTGCTGAAGAAAATTGGCTCGAATTGTTCGCTGAGAAATTTTAGCTCACAAATTGTACAGCACATGCACTCTATTTAAAACGTGAATCCTTGTGTCGGAAGCAATAGTGAACAGGATCGGATTGTTTTATACTGAAATAAAGAACTAGTGGTTTACATTTAAGATAAACAAAATGCGATAAGGAAGTGACATATTCCGAGAAGTTAAACAACGGCGACTTCAGAATCCAAAAGGTTTGACTCCGGAGCAAGAAAATAGGTACAGACTAAGCAGAACTATGTAATATTGAATGCGCACACTACGGGGACGAACAGATAGCGAACAACGAGTCAATTACATAAGGTGTGCACGTATCCATGTGCAGCTGTGGTGGCCCGATGGTAACGTCACCAAATTATTACCCCCCCCCCCCCGGGGGGGGGGNGTGTGTTGAATGGCAGCCCTTTGATTGGCCGCTTCCCCCTTTCTGAAAATTGTCTTTTTATATTCAATAAAAGGAAGTAAGATTGAAAAGAAAGAAAAAGCATAACGAACTTACTTCCTGCGAACGATCACGAAGCCACGTAAGTTTGCGAACGAACTCACACACGCTGTCCGGATCGAAGCTCGATGGATCCGGTAAGGTGGTCGACGTTGACGGTGCTTCCTGCGCTGACTGATCCTTGTCGGGTAATCGCGGTTTGAGAGTCTACGAGAAAAATAAGTTTCGTTCCATATAGGAAGATTGGAAAAGGCACGCTTAGTCGAGTTTTAGTCGACAGTGTAAAAGAAACAAGAAACACGTAGCGTCCTGAACATATAGAAGAATATTAATGAAAGAGTAAAAAAATGAAAGCAAGCAGACGCAGTCAGTCAGCTATTCACTAGATTTAGACATCATACAATGGGCTGTTATATGTACGTTTCTCGGATCGGTTGGATGGTGATATCATTTTTCTATTTTCACAGCATTACGGGAAGTAATTTCTCTAACAGTTTAATATTTGTTCTCTCTGCTAATCGGTTTTGTCAAATCGGTGCATCTCCTTCTGCAGAGGAAAGTTGGTCGACGTATAAATTTGAAAAATTCTCGAAGGATGATGAAGGACCACTAGTCCAGTTCCGAAACACCTCTCTCTCCCTCTCTCGCGTCAGTGTACACCGCGTTTCTCTTGTGTTCTCCCTTCCGCCACTACGGTGCAGACAGTTAACTAACCGGTGCTCCGAACCACCAGATCGCACATGATGTGGGAACGTCACAGGTAAGAAAGTATTTGAGAGTTGGCTTGGAATTGCATACTCACCTTTTCTAACTCAGGAACCGATTGTTGTGCGGCATCTGATAACCATCGGATCAGAGTGCGTGGGGAATCCGTTGAACCGGAATTGTGATCTTGTTGGAGCCAACGTTGTTCCAAATCGGCAAGTGCTTTCCAAATGCCATCCGCACCGTCATCCTGTTCAATGACTACGTTGAACTCCTTAACCAGGTCGACGAGAAATTTAGCGTATGTTCCGTCTGAAACAGATCAGATAGAAATCCGTAATCAAAACATAGGCAATAGCCATCACACGTAAAAGTTGGCCTGCATCAGTTTGATTGCACTGAGCGGAAACTCGCCACGGTTGCAAATAACTTCGTACTTCATGGTTTACTGGAACAAAAACAACCTAAAAACTATGAAGTGCCGTGGTTACCAAATTAACACAACATACACACGCCCCTGGAATCCCCCAAGGTTAACACGCTGACATCATAGTTGACTAAAGGCAAGTTTTTGAAGATTTTCAGATTGAGTTACTGGTCTGAGTGGTAAACTTTGTAGCCTAAATTGGTTTGTTGCCACTGCGATCGAACAAAAAATAATAAGAATGATTTGCTTTGTTACCGCTGTTGCGTAGTCCCCGGATGTAAACAAAAGTATTGTGTTCTAATTCCTTCTGATTTGTTGTAAGAAACTCAGTGGATATCGTTGGAGCATCAAAGTTTGGGACAGAATTGAAAGAACCGTTAGAGGACAAACATTTTTCTAATTTTGACAACATGCGGGAACATTACATTCGTAACCGGTCCACCCGATGCGAAGCATATACAAAAATTACAAAACGGTTTTACTGGGCAACACTTTTTTTTGTAAGGCAGTATACACACAACACAAATCCCTCCAGAGACCACACAGCATCACAGTGAACGCAAAACAAGTCTCTGCTCCAGAAACTAGACACGCAGTAGGTGACCGAAGAACGAGCACGGAATGACACAGCGAAGTCTCAGATTCCGGGCGATTATGATCATGAATAAAAGAGACAACTAGCCTGAGGTGACAATGACACAAGCGAGGTGATAGACAAACTAGACGCACAAAGGAATCCCTGGTATGCAACCACATCAACGCAACTTAGAAAACTAGGCCTCCCAATAGTGGGACAAAGAACGTAAGAATATGCAGTAAACTCACATTGTTGAAACAACGACGGACAAAAAAGTAAAGCAGAGAACATGTGGAGTTGGACAAATAAATACCATAGCGCAGTCCCTAACTTGGTAGAGCGCAGGATCTTGTGAATTCATGTGACATTAATGAAACCAGATAATCAAAGGAGAATCATTGGGTCGAATAGTGTAACCACCCAACTTCACGCCTAACCGGACGTAATAAAAAACATTAAAGACTACAATTTTGGGGAAAAATAATAGTAGTACGAAATTCCCTGATAAAACCTTGAGGGATGTGGTCCCCATAAAACCCGAGCCTACAAAGGCAACGAGATGAGACTAATTAAAGCGTTCCAAACTCATGATTTTAGTGTCACTTCAAATTTGCAGGGTGTGCCAGTCTTTTGTTTACACCAAAACACAGTTTGCACATTCCACATCTGTCAGGAAAAAGTATAAGCATAACACGGCACTAATGTAATGCACTTCTTGAAAACTGTTTCCCTTCAAAACAAAGCCTGACTACTGTAATAGCTTTTACCAGCGCGGAAGGTAGTTCTCATCCGTACCGGAATCAGAACTTTTCTATCATTTCCGTTGTCGCCTTTGATAGCATGCTTGTTTCCAAATCGGTGTCTCTTTATGATAGCGTGAAAATTACTACAATAAGAACTAAAACATAATTGAGAACTAGCGTGAGAGAACAGCAAAGGTTTTACGCTGTTTAAACAACAGCGGAGGGAAGTGCTATCGGACACATTGCTAACTAAATGAAGTATCCTTCCCGAAGAATAAACTGAGTCTAATTTAACACGAGTTTTGATCCTGCGTTCTTTTGAGTTCATACTAACATCATTTTGTGTCCAATATTCTTCGTCTTCAATTTGCAATCATTCTGGTTGAGTCTACAATCAAGGTTTTCCCTATTTGAAGTGAAATTTCATTTCATCTGGTAATTAACTTCTTTACATCAATCANCAGATCTAAATGTGAGAATGACTTTTTTCACACGTTTTTGTGTGATGAACAGCAGACGGAGTGAATCTCATAGTCACGAAGACCTGCTGTTCAGTAATGGAAACCGGTAACCTGAGCCCCAGCACTTGGAGTGGCGAACCACATAAGGCACCACTTAGCTTAGTCGTGGTATAGACCCGGGCGACAGCAAAGAGGTCTATCACCAAAGTTGGGTAGCAGTGGGGGGATTCGAACCTCGGACCATAGAGTTCAGAGCACACCAGTGACAGCTACTAAACAACTGGATTACGTGTATAGTAATGTCAGTCGTGCAATGCTGTGAAAAATAGTTACAAGGGGATTCATCTGCTAATTTCCTGTTCAGAAGAAATAGGTATTAGGTAATTATAGAAAACTATGGACAATTTCAGTCCGTAGTTATTGCCACTTTGTTTCATCTGTTCGTCGGTCATCGTTTGGAGACCGTCATCACAACCGCACAGTTGAGGGTGGGAGATAATTTCGTTCTAGTCTAGATCAACACCACACAAGTCCAACTAAGGACTTATGCGGTTTGACACTCCAAGGTCCGTGAGCTGCACTATCCTACNTTTACTTCTGATCATCACAACAGTCTGCGCAGTAAAAAAAAACAACCAATAAAAGGCATAAACACTCACCAGGGTCGTCCATTTCCTCAGGGTTGATGGGCGCGCTAGGGGAATCAGTGAGGTCGACCACAACCGGTGGAGCACTTGAATCTACTATAGCAAATCGATTGATTTCAGCAACCAATTGTTCGAATCGAGGTAGACCACGATTGACAAGTGAAACGACTAGGCGCAGAACATGTCGAAATGGCTGTTTCGTCGAGTTTGAGAAACACAAAACAATGGAACGATAACAAAAAAATATTGATAAAAATTTTACGGAAATAATTGTAGTTTCCCTATAGACTTTAATTATGCATTGTAAAACTATCAACGGAATGCGGTTGATCTTAGCGGTGCAGACAATGTATGGCAAAATAAGTGCAATGCAATATTCCTGTTTTGGGTCATTGCACTACTCTTTCTTCTAAGCAATAGTAGAGCAACTTTAGGAACAGAAGAAGTTAGATTAGACAGATTGTACTGAATAATTGTGGTTGCGTACTGACCCAAATACATGAATTGTGGATTTTGGTGGCTGGTCCATGTGCTAAGCCTGTTACCAGATAGTTCCCCCTGACGGATGATGTTCGCTGAAGCAAAGGATGGATCGAGCAATGCTAACGAGGATCAGACCAGTACCTTGCACGAGGGTAAGAAAAATCTGACCACAGGACCTGATCAAGCATGTCGTGTTGTGTATTCCGGTTGGGGCTAAGGGTCAAACGGAAAAACGACAATGAAAACGTGCACATGACGTACGATGGATGAGTGACTGTATTACCTGAAACGGAGGAATCTCACTTCGACAGCATGAAAATATGGTGAAGCACTGCTCTGCGTTGAAATATATTGTGTTAGGGGGATGTCCTGTAGACGGAACCGCAGGTAGTGACTGTCGACCGAATGGGTTTGGTGATCGATTAAAATCTGGGTCACGTAACGATCGCCTGGGTTTGTGAACTCGCTTGGAAAAGCACGAACATAATCCATAGAATAAATACCATTTGATACTGGAGGATATGAAATTCTTTTGATTTGCCTGACTTTATGGAGAAAAGCAGGGAAAAGTACGAACGTAAACGCTCAGTTGAATACTAACACGTAACGTGACTTGTTACTCCAAGTTATTCGGTTCATGTTTCCGGATCTCACACCAAAAATGATGTGTTTTGTTGCCCCTAGTGGGGTAAAAGAGATTAAGGCGGCCGGAAATACATTTAGTTGAGTGAGTCTCGTGTCTTTTTGCATTCCTTGAGCTTTTGGTCCTCACCCATTATTCCACTGTCACCTGCGGTTCCGAAAAGCTGCTCCCTAATGAACAACAACCATACTCCGATAAACCGTTCAATAAGCGAGCTGATCGGGTTGATGACAGCCAGGATGCTTTAAAGCGTTCCAGTGAAAAATAACCTTACTGTTTTGTAGTGCATTCTCGAATGTGTACAGGTCACAGGTGCACTCCTGAACAAACAGGCTGAACGGTGCTGATGACGCCATTTCGTACAACAGGCTCGTGATTTTTCCGAGGATAACTGGAGGACAATTTCATATATGGGAGATCATCGTTAAGTAGGACATAGAATACCCAAATCACACTCGATCGGAAAAGTTCATGAGTGAGTTTCGTCATTAAATCATCACGCATAAAAGAGGACCATCCAAGTTAAACCAGAGAGGTACTCAGCTCCAACATATAGTTGTGACAATAAGAGAAAACGATTTTTAACGTGATCCATTTCATTTTGACTGCAAGCCAATTAGAAAATTCTGGACGCATAAACCGCCCTTGTCTATTTAATTCGCAAACATCTGTACATCTTGTTCAATGCTCCCTTCCTATTCGTTACTGCCAACCCAAATGTGGGCACAGATACACTGAGTGGATTTCAACTGTAGAGTCAACGATACAAAATTCTTCCTGCTCCATCGAAGTTATTTTAGATTCCAAAATCATGCAGCAAGTCAGTATTTGATGACCAGACCTAATCACGAGGGAAACAAACACTGCAAAATCGGTCCGTAAAATCGTTGATCGTTTTTCAACTTCCTTCGATCAGCCATAACCCGATCCACAAAGCAGTGGCGTGGTGAGTGAAAACCTCAATCCACTGGGGGCCGGTGTCCAGTTCATTGGATAATACGGGCTTTGGGAGGGGTCAAACACTCAAGGCGCCCTAAGAGCCTCAATACCCAATCAAACCGGTGACAACTGCCACAGTCAGGAAGGTATGTGGTTGTGGTTCGCAAGCACGTAATGGATTCACTTGAATAGTGCGGGATTAAAATTTGACCTCGTTGTTCTTCTTTGTAAATCACGTGCATTATTAGAATCATTTAGGCGTATAACGAAACAACAAATCGAAGAATTTAAAGTGTATCGGGAAGACCATTTATCACTTACGCCCCGATCAGCCACTCGTTCGACAAATTCACCGAACAGAAGATAAGAATCTAAGTAACCACTGGGCCAAGTACAGCCACGCGATTCAGCCCATTGTTGTAATGCTGCGTGCAGTGAAGTTGCGCATTGAGCCAATTTCTTCAGTACATTCACTGGTTTGCTCTTCCACCACTCTGTAAGAATATGCGGCACGGAAAAAAGGAAAGACAGATTCAAACAATAGTAAACCAACCTTATATATCCCCAACCGGGTCAATGGATTCGCACTGCTGATGAGAACCAACCAGGTCGAAACAGCTATCCAATGCTTCCTAGCTTTTCAGTTTACGCTTCATTTGCTATATATACGACAAAATACCATTGGAAATATGTAAATATATATAATTCTTTTTTAATAATTAGCTGAACGGACAACAATGCAACCTATTTTTCAGGAAGAGGACACGTTTAATCGAAGATAACTTGTGGACATCCAGAAATAAGAAATATAGGCACTGGTAGCGGTATTAGTACAATTTCCGGGGGGGGGGGGGGCTGTGACAGCTACATTGAATGCGAAATCACGCTAGAATGAAGACGAGGTCAATTCTCCTCATCAGTATCAGTACCAGAATGATCAAAAGGGATGCGCCAATAAACCAAACACAGACTTATCAATTATCTTTGTTTAGTTTCCCTCGACCTTTTTCTGATTACATCACATACCACAGATAACAGTCTCGGCGCATCTAACGTAATGCGGTTCTCGCTTCTTAGTTTGTTACGCTAATCATTTACCAGATATCCTCAACATACGGTGGATCGAAGCGGTTAGAGAACTACGATCTTTTGCTTATAATTAAGTGTGAAACACAAACAGCACACTCACCCAAGGAGGAAGGGCTGAAGAAGTCTGCCGAGAATTGTTCGTACAGGTGACGTACTTCTTGGTTAAGACGGTTTTCCGCTACCTGGTTCACCTTTGTTAGATTTTCCGGACGGAGCATAGAAATCATTGCCTGTTCATGTGTGTTATCAGGTAAAGACAGAAAACGAATAATATACGACGATTAGCACTGTTGTTCATATCCTACACGAATACTTATTCACTTAATTGTGCATACATTAAATGAAAGTGAAAACAAATATGAGGGATATAGTACGGGTGTTTAGTACATGACAGTTGGAGAAACAACGTAGCAAAGAGTTGAGACTTATTAAGTCGATCTCACGCCCGCCCATGTGCTTCCCAATCCAAAGTTTCATGGATTCGAAAATGTTTAACAATAAGTCGACATGCTGGAAGATTCAAAATTTCCGACTTGTGTGCCGTCTGTTGAACCTAAAGTAGAAGCGAAATGCAACCTTTTGATTTCAGGTCTTCACCCATTGTCATTTGACACAGTTGCAACTAAACCGCAGCTGAAAACTGTACTCAGCAGTGTGTTTTCCTCTTAATGAATCGCCAGGTATGTAGAGTAAGATATATTTGCTCAGAAAACGCGTCAAAAGAACTTGAAATAAGAAGAAAAACATTTGGATAGCCTTAGCGAATCATTAGAAAATTTCCCAGAATAAAAAGTAAGTTATTCGTCAGGTTGCTATCTGTCACCGGCGTGCTTTGGACCCTGTGATGCGAGATTCAAGCCCCTCCACTGCCACCCAATGTTGGTGGTAGGCAGCTTGGCTGCCGTCCGGTTCTATACCATGCCTGATTTATCGGGGCCTCATGTGTTCGCCACTCCAAGCTCCAGGGTTTAGGTTGCTGGTTACTGAATAGTAGGTCCTCGTGACTATGGGATCCGCCCCGACTGCTGTTTATCACACACTGGTATGTAATAAATCAAAATCTCAAGGAGACGTTGCGTAAGAAAAGGGAGTAGGACCCTCAGTTAGCTCCAAAATACGCTTTCTCCTTTCTCTTCTCCCCCGTGATCCGATATCAGAACAAGGATGAGTGGCCTTTGTTTACCTCCTCCATGTTTATGTACAAATTCGAGCGCAATTATGGTGTTACTTGTTGTTGACCGTGTGACGAAACGGGGAACTAAACGCATCGGTGAGCACAACTCGCGATGGTGGCAGGGAGAAAATGAGACCAAACGGAGTGCAACTGTCGCAACTTGACGAAGTCCAATCATCCCAGTAGACTCCAATTTATCTGTATCCTTTATTCACTGGGTCATACTGCACACGTACAGGGTAATGCGGCTTCGGACAGCAGTGACTGTCCATCGGCACACTAATTTTCAGTTTCGCGCCGATCAGCTCTAAACGCAATTTGTCTATTAAAGCCTGACTAGTGCACTTAACGAAGACTGGGCCAGGTGGTGCCGAAAATCGACCGTGTGATGATTGACTGAGTTGATGACGTTACGTAGGAAGAAAATGTGTCACAGTCACGGTTCTAATGTCGTATAAGTCGTTTATTTGTTTGTTTTTCACCTCCTACAACCGTAATTTGAGTAGACTCATTTGAACATCATTTATCTCCCCACATTAATGAATACCAAACAAATATGCTTGTTGACAATTACCAATGAAATCACTACCTTGCACCTTACGTTTCAAATAAAAGGAAACAGTTGACTGGTGTTAACTTTCCCTTTCAGTGTAAGGATCATCGTGATGGGGTCAAAAGAATTATTTTATTTATTGAAAAGGAAAGGACAGCAGCACCTTAATAGACCACAGCCACCAGCGGTCCAGAGCTACGAGAATAAAATGATCAATCAGTCCTAAAAGTGTGAGCTTCAGCTTACCTTAATCAACGCAGAAAACCCATTGATACGGATCCCGAACGGGGCTAGGTGCGAGATATTATACGCGGAAGTCTGATCACGACTCAATGTGGATGGTACGTNCGTGATGAACGAAAACCGATTCCCACCAAGTGGACTGGCTACTGCTACTCAAGTTTCCCGGGAGGCGGAATCGATTTTTACACACACACTCGTACATGAGTTGCAACAGATCCTCGTTGGTCATGCACAGATTAGTGGGACCTTGTCCCTGTGTGAAAGCCTCAATCACGCGAGGATCGAAGTGATTAATGTGACATATCTCGAACACGGCCGGCAGAGTGACAATAGGGCCAAGCAGTCGAGACTCAGTCCGGAGTTCAATCTAAAGGTAATTAAATGCAAAAGCTTAGGCAAAGAACGTATACAAAATTTATAGTAAATTTGGCATTCACATGGAAACACCACTGCACAATGGATCAAGTTTAAAAGGGGAGTGTTGGAAATGGAAACTGATGATCAGTGAACTACATCGTTCTCTTATTGCGTTTCCTCCACTAGGGATAAAAAAAGGAGACGATAATAATCGAAAATAAATTGGATGATAACCTTAAGCTATAGGAGAATCATTTACCAAGAGCAGAGCTGTATGCTACCCAGCGCGTCCCCAGGTCGCGGATAGGAGAATAGCCACCAACTCGCGATTAACCATGAATAGGGTGGGGTTTAGGCTCACTGAATAAGTGGTTGCAGACGAGCAGCGGCAGTGCTCGAGGATATGGTGATTTTTCAACTTGGTGAGGATTCTCCAAACAAAACACATGTATCTTTTGACAGCGCTTGACGTGGCGAGTATGGCCGGGCACTGAGTATGGTTACTGTCCGCTTGTTGGTGTTCTATCTGTCTAACAAGATTCTCTAGAAGAGGCCAATGAGCTGACCAACCGGTCACTGACTCATCTGACTTGTAGTTCGTGCTTAGTTACGTTGGAGCTAGAGTGCACTCTCGAACGAAACCTACTCTGGACTGGGCGACCGAGTCCACAAGGCACACTAAATACGACATTTTTGTTATCCAAGAATTCGCATCTACAGCTTTCCTCTTTCAGATCACATCATTTTACATCACACATCTTCTTGTTTGCCAATCTTTCCTTCCCCTCACGTACACCACCCTCAAATATTTTAAACTCCACTGCACTACCAGTTGTGTCTCTGGTGGAAACTTTACCCTTTTCTCGTTTCCTACCTCGAATGGCGTCCGAGTCAAACCGGCATGTTGAGCTCGCACGCTCAAAACCCTAGCCATCGACGTGTTGTTTCCAAGAGGCTCGCATTTAGTACTCTACCATTTAGTACTCCACCACCTGATTGACGTCCCATCAAAACCAATGGCGAAGTTTCGCTTACGCCTTTCTGGGGACCCTGAGACTGTCGTTTCTCGTATTGCTGGCATCGGCGTGGCTCTCAGTGGGACAGGTAGAGCCGCGCTCCTAGATTGGATCCCAGTCGATAGTAGGTTATGTGCAGTAAGATTTAGAGGTCCATGCAAAGTAAGCAGTAGTCACTCCGAAAGACAACTTCTTTGCCGTCTCGGTGTATACATCTACTAATTGTAGCCCAGATACAAACAAAGATACTTTCTACCAAAGACTACACGACCTCTTGTGTAAATCGAATCGGGCTGATATTGTGATTTTAGCAGACCTGAATGCTAGATTAGGCCGGCTGACTTCAAGTGAGGCGCATATGGGAGATGCTTTCGGACTAGATTCCTGTCGCTCGGAAAAGGGCAAATGGCCATTGGCTTTATGTTCCGAACACCGACCATTTCTCATCAGTGCGAATTTCAGACGATCCAATTGCCGATACACTGCTTGTAGTCCACCCTTCTGGAATCAGTGACAAACGCAGTTGGACCACATCGCTATAAGCCGCAACTGGCGGAGTCGCATACAAGACTACCGCTCGTACGACGGTGCACCCCTCTAATCTGATCACACATTGTTTTGCTATGTACCTCAATGGGCGCTACAAACGCACGATACGTTGTCTCAACCAGCACGCCTGTTTCAGAATGCGCTAGCTGAAAAGCTAGAATCAATCCCACCTGATAACATCAATCACCACTGGTCGCTATGTATTCCGCTGGCTTGGTAAGTTATGGCTTTACAAGTCGTGTCATGACACCCCGTATTTCCACTGATTCTTTGAGTCGTCTTGATGCACACCGATCACTTCCGACCGGCAGCGAGCATAACGCAGTACGACTTATAACGAGACACGAACTTGAAATAAGACTACGCAGAGACCGCGAAATGTGGTGGTCTCAAAGTGTACCAGAGATGGAACGTGCTTTCGCCACGGGAAATTCCATTAGACTGTTCCATCTCATTCGAGTCACCGGTAAGAAAGCTTTAGTTGTAAGCGAAACCATGAAGCAGACGGCTCGCTTATTGACAACCAACGGCGACGTCATGCACGCTGGACGGAGCACTTCAAAGCACAGTTTCGCTGGCCACCAGCGTCAGCTTCTCACAAAGTTGTCTCATGGTCTATCTCAACCGACCAACCTTCTGAGGCAAAAATATGCAAGGAGATCCAGGCCCTTGGACTTCACAAGGCGCTGGGCTCCGACGATCTTTCCCGAGCTCTATTTAACGATGGTGGAATGAAGTTTGTTAAGAAGCTAAGTTTTGACTTCTAAAGTTTGGAACACTGAGCAGATACCCTCCTCGTGAGGGAAGGGAATTGATTGTTGTTCCAATCTTTAAAAAGGGCCCGCGCAGTGCTTGCGCAAACCGCAGAGGTATAAGCCTCATCCCGATAGCGTCAAAACTGTTAGCTTCCGTCATTCTTCGCAAATTGTACAAGACGCGTGAAGAACATGCCCGCGAGCAGGCTGGGTTTCGCGCTGGTCGTGGATGCATCGATCAAATCTTCACCCTCCGACAGTTGCTAGAACACCGTCATGTCTGTCAAAGACCAACGCGGGTTGTGTTCCTAGACCTTCGCGCGGTTTTCGACTTCATTGATAGGATCGCACCATGGAGCTGTTTGTTTAGAAATGGAGTACCT